CCCCAAAACCCCAAAACCCCAAAACCCCATTTATCAAATCTCTGCTTTTGATTGGTGATAAATAAATTACGTTATTTGCATATACATTGATTATTCACTTGTATTTATTGAAACATAGACTAAATTGAGTGCTTTTACAAAGAAAATAAATAGTATTGATGCGTTTAAGTTCTTGAAAATTGAATATCAGTTATTTCTTGCCATTTCCTCTTCGTTGATCCACTTGATTCTCTTACCGTCTTTCCATTCGCCAAATTTAATCTCTCCCTAGCTGGAATAATATTTACCTTTTCCGTGCTGCTTTCCATCTAGCCAGCCACCTTCATACTTTCTGCCATCTGGCCAGGTGAAAACACCATTGCCCTACTTCTTGTCATCATAGTACTAGCCTTCATATTTTCTTCCATCATCCCAGGTGAAGATACCGTTACCATGCATTTTATTGAACTGCCACTCTCCATTGTAAGCTCTACCATCAGCCCATCTGTAATGACCGATTCCGTGAATATTGTTATCCTTGAACTCACCTTTGTAATCGCTTCCATCAGCCCACTTGAAATATCCTTCTCCCTCTTTCTTTCCTTCGAGATAATTACCTTCAAATATAGCTCCATCAGGCCATGATTCTCTACCTTTGCCTTGCTGCTTATCGTGATACCATTCTCCTTCATACTTGGCACCATCTGAGTGCATATATATACCATGTCCATGAGCTTTGTCATTGAGCCACTCTCCTACATAAACATCTCTGTCAGCATGAATAAGACGACCCTTTCCATTGGCCTTGTTTTGCTTCCAGTATCCCTCGTAGATTGATCCATCTGGCCAAATGAGCACTCCCATACCATCTCTTTCACCTGTCTTCTCATTCCACTGTCCCTCATACTTAGTTTTGTTCTCTAATACCATTAGAGGTTTCTTCTGCCTTGCAATACCGTCATCTGTAGGCTTGTCATAGTCATAAGGCCCAAGTTTTCTTATAATTTCAAGTACTTCTCTGTTTTCATATTCTGGAACATTTCCTTCAACAGTGTTTACTAGTCTCTTGAGTTCCACTACTGTGCGAACAAGTGCGACAAATTTCCTAGCTTTGATACCCCTGAATAAAGATTGAATGCGTTCAATATGCTCAATCTTGTCTGTACCTCTTAATCCTCCAACATCTCTGTCGTCGAGAACTAGATCTAGCAATTCGTCCTCGCCATGCTGGTAAGAGCTGTGTTGCTTTGGCTTCTTTGAATTAGTATTGATAACAATTTCGTTAGTTCTCTCTGCTTAGCAGCAATTTCCCATTAAAAACTTAGATAGAAATAAAATAATTTATATCTTCAATGCATAATCATCATACAAATATCATTGATTATTCAATTTCAAATATTTCCTAATTAGTTGAAAATTAGATAAAGACTCGGGGTTTTGGGGTTTTGGGGAGATCGGAAGAGCACACGTC